CTGTTGACCATTCATAACAAGCCGGCCACCTCTTCACGCGCTCCTGACCAGCCGAGACCAATAGCTCTCTGGCGGCCATGTCTAGAACTGCTACAGAAGAACCTTTGAGAGTCCTGTGTCATCCCTGGGGGCTCGGAAGCTGTGACGCCACCAGCCACACTGAAAGAGGGTCCACAGGCAGGGGTACTGTCCTCCCCAAGTTCGCAGCCCTCGCCCTTCCTACTCCTTGCCCTTTCTGGCTGTTCCCTTGTGGCCTCCTCACTCAGCCCCACACACAGGCCCATGCCTTGGTGGACACTTCTGATTCTGGTGGGTTTCCTGATTCAACCCAGCCATCCCTTCAGGATTCACAAATGCCTCCTGCCCTGGACAGGTGTTCACAGCCCCATGGAGTGAGACTCTTTCCATCTAGATGACATCCGAAGCTCAGAATGAGCTGCTGCAGCTGTGAATTCCTAGGCACCAAGGCAGAAATGCAGGGGCACACAGGGGGCGGGGGTGGGGGGACTGCAGGAATCATGACCATGACACATACCTCTCTATTCAAGGGCAGACCTAGCAGCCCACAAGAAAGGGAGGACCCAGTACCCCAGGTCTACCTACCCCTCAGGCAACTGCAGGGAAACACCAAACACCGCACCCCAGACACAGAATGTGAATACATTCAGAACATCAGGAAAACATGGCTACGTTAAGCCGCAAAGAAAACCTAAGCACAGCCCATGAAGTAGAAATAAAACAACTCCAATCTCTGAATACGCCATAAACTAGAAATCATTAATAAAAATTTAATCAAAACAAATTCAAAACCTAACCCTAAGTGACTCTGTCAAAGGGCACACAACAAGGTTTTCTAGAAAACCTGACTTGGTGGCACATGCCTGTCATCCCAGCACTGGGGAGGAGGAGGATGAGGATCAGGAGTTCAAGCCACCCTGGGCTACACAGTGAGTTCAAGGCTAGCCTGGGCTACATGAGATCCTTTTGAAAGGAGGAGGTGTCTAGAAGAACAATGAAAACACAATTTATCAGAGTGAACAAGACACAATCATCAAAGAAAAATTCATAGCCCTGCATACCACATATCTACAAAACCAGAAGATCTAAGAAAAATGAAGTGAGCTGAGAAAACTGGGAAATTAATGATCAAAATATCAAAAAGGGGGGCTTGGAGAGATGGCTCAGAAGTTAGGAGCACTGGCTGCTCTTGTGGAGGACCCAGGTTTGGTTCCCAGCAACCACATGGTGGCTCATACTGCCTATGACTCTGGTTCCAGGGTACCCAACGCCCTCTTCTGGCACTACATACACTTGGTGCACATACACATTAAAAAAAAGGGGGGGGGGACAGAGAGGAGACAAAGAAAAGAATGAAGATAATCCTGACTTTAATTAACTAGGAAACAAGAAAGAGCCACAGCCCCAAGAGGTAAGGCTGTGTCTGTACTTCATTCCTGTGTATTCTGTGAGTCTCACGTACCACATCTTAATGCTTTATCTCTTGAAGAACATGTGGGCTTTTCCAACTTTCTCATTATGATTAAAGCTTTCTGCAACATTGTGTATGGTTTTTCAAATGCCCATCGATGCAGGATTTGTTTCAATTAAGTTAATTATTTTTAAGCTGATACATGAGAACATAATTATATGTGTGAATTATATGCAAGCACAAAAACATGGAAATAACAAATGCCATCTTGGGCAAAAAGGACAAACTAGAACACGGCACTACCAGACACCAAAATACACAATGAAGCCTCAGTGACAGAGGAGTGTGTACTGCCCCAGACACACAGCCCAGGAGGGCAGGACCAAGTGCCCCCAAATAACCACATCCAACCACAGTCGACTGAGTTTCCCTTCCTCTGTGTCGGTTATTTTACATTAGTGTTGGTTCATGACCTAAACTGAGACGGGTATTATACAAAGTTCCATGGCTGCTGAGAAGACTGTGCGTCTGGTCTGTAAATGTCTGTGGTTCAGTTTAACTCTGGAGTTTATTAATTTTGAGTCTGGATGGCCGGTCTGTTGAACCTGGACTTGTGGAGTTGCCCACTGTTACCTTTCAGGACCTGTCTGTCTTTTGACCTCCATTCATGTTTGTGCTTGTGAAACCCAGGCCCCAGGGTTTGGTGCACACGTATTTACAACCGTTGCGCCTTCTTGGTTTGTGAGCAGAAGCTTCATCTCTTCTAACTGTGGTTGACACCTGCTTCATCAGATATAAGACTGGCCGCACTGGCTACTCTGGGGCTTCTATCCCCTTCATGATGTCCACCCTCTGACGGTCAGTCTGTGGGTGCCTTTGCCAGTGAGGTGTGGTGTTTGGAGACAACAAATAGATGCTGCTTTGTAATCCAAACATGTTATCTGCATCTTTTAATCAGAGATTTAATATACTAAGTATTATTGAAAGAGGGCTGTTATTCCCATGATCTGCTGGCTGTTTCTCTGGTTAGTTATTTCTTCCAGGACCTTGATGGTTTACTCTGTGAGGAGTGATGGACTCTTTCTTAGCTGGCTTCGTAGCCACGGGTTGCTTTGGTCTGTGAAGGGTCTTCATTGTGTCCTATCTTTTTCCCTCTGTCAACTCTAAAAGGCACCTTTGCTGGATAAGGCAATCTTGGTGCCAGTTGCCTCCTCACGGGGCTTGAAACACATGACACTCTGGGCTGGTGGTAAACTTAGAGTTAGGGCTGAAGAGCTGAGGGGACCACCATGCCCAGGAAGCATCACCAGCGACTCCTCCCCCGCCTTGAGCCTCCATGTGGAGTGACTTCCTTGGCTTTTCCACTCTTGCTCCTCAGGAAGGGGCAGCCCATGCAGCAGGGGGCAGGGAGAGAGACAGGACTGTCCTCCTCGTCTCAATCCAGGCCTGCTGAAGGAGGAGCAGAGGCTGGAGTCCAGGATGGCTCAGGCAAGCAGAAAGGCTGCACTTTACCACAGGTTGCCCGGCTGCTGTTCCAGGTGGCCCTACCACCATGGCAGTCCAAGCATCTCAGAGGCGGAAGCCAGAGGCACAGCTGGCTCCCGGACTGCATGTTCCCGTAACTGCTTTGTCAGAAATGAACATAAAGGAAAGAGATGTTTTGATCTGTACCGTCTAGCACCATTAATTCTGACCTTGGAAAGAAACAGGGAGCTTGTCCTCTGGTGCCTGCGATCCCCAGGGCAACCACCCAGCAGAGCCTCCCACTCTGTTCCCAAGGCATTCATGTTCACCCTCCTGTTCCGTTCCTTTTGCTTATCCCAGGCTTTGTCCTGTCCGTCCCCATGCTTCCTGAGCTGAACAATTAGAG